ATTGATTAGGAGGACATATGGATCTAGCCGATAAGGACTAAAGACCAATTGTCTCCTTGAAATATCAAGATTCAATTGTCCACATCCACTGTTTTGACACTGATTTGAATCTGAGTAGAGATTTCACCGGAAATTTCTCTAAGATCTGCACAACTACAGTAAAAGGTAGCTCCATCATACAATATCTAGGTCTTGTTTCCGTTTTCTTTTATTTTATTTTCTTCTTTCAAAAGGTAGCTCTATCATACACTATCTGCTCTATTGAATTCGTCTTAACCTTTGCTCTCCGCCCGAAGATGTCCATATTGTTTAGATGATGAGAGAAATAGAATGGGAAGATTATTGTTAGTCTTTCATAGTAATAGTTGTACATGAGATCAACATATATAAGAATACAATTTATGAATACTAAGAGACAAGTCAAAGAGAAGATAAATACACTAAGAAATGAGAAATACAAAGAGACTAGTCAAGAGTAATAATAACTCTTCCTAACATGCCCCCTCAAGATGGACTTTAGCTATGAAGACCAATCTTGAGACAAAAAGGAAAACTTCTTGACATATAGTGGATATGAATTTCGTTGGAGATGAAGCTTGAGGTCGTCACGACGGTGACAAAGCAAACCGACTCATCAGCAGGGTTGGACAGAGCAGATGCCATTTCAGAAGCAAGCCGACTCATCAGCATGATGTCAACATAAAAATGAATAACGACGGTCGACGAACACAAGCGGCGACAGCAATCTTGAAAAAGAAAGCAGCAGCGGCTAACAATAATTTTGGAGTTTAGAAGCACCTGGCTTAGAACATAAAAAAAAAAAAGATAAAGAGAAGCACAAAAGCCATAAAAACATAATTATAACCCAGTCATTCTATTAATCGAAAAAGAACAGTTATTATAAAAACATAATCTAACTCATTTATTTTATTAATCTGAAAAGAATTGTGGTTATAAAAACATAATTCTAACACGTCCGTTCATATTACTAAATAATATAAATATTTATTAATTTTGAAATAATATCTTAATATCTTGCATATTTTGATAACTTAACCCGCCTAAGACCACAATTATATAAAACCTAACATGTCCCATCAAATTACCATATAATATAAATATTTATCAATTTTCAATATGTAAAATTTTATACTGATTGATTATGATTAAAAAAATATAACAACATATTTATTAATCAAATGTGTTATCATGAAAATATTATTTAAATTTCAAATGTTAAATGAAATATAAACTATATTTAAAGAAGTCTAAAGTAATTTAAATTAATATCTAACTTTTTAGACTTAAATTTAATTGCAAATTTTTTAATTTAAAATTTAAATTAAATATAACCTATATTAAGAAAATTTTTAGTTTTCTAAATTGATATCTAATTTTCAGAATTAGTTTTATATATTAAAGAAAATGTATTTTTTTAAAATAATAACGCAACAAAATAGGATAATTTTAAAACAGTTTTCAAATAATTTTTTAAAAAAACTTTGGGAGTGTTTGGATGCAAGCACTAAAAGTACTTCTGTTTTAATATAATAGATGATTTATGTTTCACACTTCATTATGAATCTCATATGCTTAGAACTGTGATTTCTTGTACTCAAAGCTTAATCTCTATTGTATGAGAAAAATGAAGGTATAATTTGTTTTCAAAACTTTATTTTATGTGGTTAATTTCAGAAGTTTACTGAATGTTTTCAAGAATGTTGTTTAGTGCATGTCTAAAAGCTATCTAAGACCACCGTAGTTTGGGTTTCTCTTCAGAAGACATGCCACTCCAAAGACATTTGACTTCAGAATAACAAAATAATTTATAATATAGTACAATAGGATAAGAAAACCTAAAACTTCAATGTATTATTTATTGGGTGAATAAAGTTTTTTATAAACTAGTTATAAATTTAAAATATGTAGGATGAACTGAAAATAGCTTGTTAATTTTTTTTTCATCTTTTCATGCTTAATATTGTGAATGGTGTGTACTCGGTGAATTCACATTCTCAAAACATAAATACATTTTAAAAAAATATATATCATTCAAACCAAATGTTTTTAAGCACAACCCAAAAAATAAACTGGAACATCATATCACTATGCCAATCTAGTTTGATTCGGTCCAACCGCAAATTAATTATAATCTATATGTACATTTGATACTTGATTTTGTTTAATTACAAAAATATACTTGTATCAATCAACCAATTGAATAAGAATGACCTTACTCAACTCTTAACATATATGTATTAATTTGGTCCCAAAAAACAAACATATTTATGCTACTAGATCATTGAGTAAAAGCAGAACCTGCAACAACGCTTTGGGTGGTGCTATGTTTTTTTTTTTTTTTTTGTTGCTAAAATGTAAATATCATATGAGGAAAAATAGGTGTTACATGAATTAGACATATTTACATTTGGTTCCTTAGCAAAAAAATAACAAAAAAACAAGGAAGCAATATGATTTAGGACCATGATTATAGCCAAGCCAAAGGGCCATGAGATTACTGAATCTTTTCAAGTGCTTTCGCGCCGTAATAGAATTCTTTACTTGCCCCGGTCAATATCCTTGAAGATAATAAGCGGTGTGATTGAGATTCGATTGTGAATCGTGTGTTTCGCTGCTTCCATATCATGTAAACAGTCGCCTGTGTAGCTAGCCTCCGGAGCAAACTTGGAGTTCTTGCATTCGTATTCCTCAGCCATTGCATCAGAGAATTCCGCCACATCTCGAGTCATATCAATAATTATACTGAAGCAAGAGTCATGCATCTAAAATAAGATTACCTTTGGCTTCTATGACCACTTTTATTGTATCAAAAATTAATAAACGGGCAACTCATTTCTTCATCCCCACCAGATAGCTGAAGGTAGCCGATTCTCAACTGAATTGATACCACAAAAGTTAAATAAGCATATGAATATTCTTGCAGAACCAGACATTCATGAAAGTTAAATAAGCATTTGAATAATTAGGAATGCTTTACATTGTGACTATCTTGATTCTACATTATAATAATATATTCAGAATTTAAGAAAAAAGATGTTATGGCTATTCCATTAACTAAAAAATTTTGTTGACTATTGAGAAAATAAAAAAAGGTTTCTGTTAGAAAAAACAATAGACTAAAAAAAGGAAAAAAAAAACTTCCCACCATCATCTTCTGCCTCTTGAGATAAATGCTGATTCTGGACCGGATTCATCGAGCTAGGAAGAATTAGGTCTGATTTTAAATTTTTGAGAAAATATGAGGGTCTATTTAGAAAATACAATGGATTGAAATATAAATAAACAAAAAGCTCCGACCATCTTCTTCATTCTCTCTGCCACGCGTCGCTCAATTTACAGGTATTTCTCTAGGGATCGATTAGTCACTGATCGATTATTTTTCTTGGTGGATTTTGAATTTCTTGAATAGTTTCTGTAGAATTGTGAGGGTATCAACAATGGTGACACCGAAGCGGCTGAATTTCTCTTCCTCTGCTTGTGGTGACTCTGATACTCGTCTCGAGAAACTTCCCTCAACACATGCAGCAGAAGAACAAGAGCCAATGAAGACGAAGACGACGAAGAAGAAGAAGAAGAAGCAGAAATCGATGATGAAAGAGATCTGGAACGAGGATAACGAGCTCGCTGTTTTAAAGGTTTGTTTGTTTTCATCATCACCATCTTCGTCTTTCCTTTAATCATTTAATTTCTGTTCTCACTCTTTTGTTGAAATTAGGGTTTAGTCGATTATAGAGTTAGGACGATGCACGAACCCGGTTTCGATTGGGATGGTTTCTTCGATTTCATCAAAGGCTCCATCAAAGCGGAAGTCACAAAAGAGCAGCTTTTGAGTAAGATCCGGAAGTTGAAGAGGAGATTCGTTGTTCACATGGAGAGAATCACTCAAGGGAACGATCCTCTCTTTACTAGATTCACTGATTCTCAAGCTTTTGGGTATGCGAAGATGATTTGGGACAGTGCTGAAGATGAAGTTGATAACAGAAGCAGCATCAGGGAGAAAGCACTCCAGAACGAGAATGGCGTAAGTGATGTAATTTGATTTCAGCTTTGTCAAATCTGTTTCCAAGTCTAGATTTTTGGTAGATAGGAGTTTGGATAAATCTAATAGTTAAGACTGATTTCGATATTGAGTATTTGTTGATGAATCAGGAGAATGCGTTTAAGGAAAATGAGCAAGTGAATAACGATGAACCTGTGAATAAAAATGGCAAAGTACCTCCTGAAGTAGTGTGCATGGAGGAAGCAGAACAGACCGAGAATGGAGTAAGTGACAGAATTATCAGTATGAATTGTTGATTGTTAAGAATGATTAGGATATTGAGCTCACAAATTTGTGTTTTTGTATGAAATCAGGAGGGTGCATTTAAGGAATGTGATCAAGTGGATAAAGATGCACCTTTAAATGAAAATGGCAAATCAATTCTTGAAGTTGTGGGCATGGAGAATGCACAACAGACTGAGGGCGTAAGTAACTGATGCATTCTTTGTTTTCAACCTAAATTGATGTAGCTCTGTCAAATCTGTTCCAATAAAAAAAAAACTTCTTTGAATGATCCGCTGCTTCATGAATCTGATTACTTTCTTTGCCTCTAGTTGTAAAGAATGATCTGGATATTCTGTTCACCAATATGGTTTGTTGATGAATCAGGATAATGCTTTTAAGGAAAATGAGCAAGCTGCTAATGGTGAACCAGTAAATATAAACGGCACGTCAGTTCCTGAAGCCGTGGGCATGGAGAATGCACAACAGACCGAGAATGGAGTAAGTGACAAGAGTTATCGTTTGTTTCTAACGTATTTTGATTCAGCTTTGTCAAAATCTGTTTCTGATAAAAGCTTCTTTCAATTGTTACTTTTATTTTGCCTCTAGCTGTTAAAAAAGGAAGCGGATATTTTGTTCACCAATATCGTTTGTTGATGAATCAGGAGTGTTCAGTTAAGGAGAATGGGCAAGTGGGAAATGCTGAACATGTAAATGAAAATGGCAAATCACTTCCTGAAGCACAACAAGTCGAGAATGGGGTAAGTCGTTTGTATCCAACCAACATTGACTAAGCTTTGTCCTGCCTCCGGTTAAAAAACTTCTTTTTATGACCCACTGCTTCATGAATCAGATTACTTTTTGTTTGATATGGTTTGTTGGTGAAAGCAGGAGTGTGCGTTTAAGGAAAATGGGCAAGCCTCTAATGATGAGCCTGTAAATGAAAATGAGGCTGAGAAAAGTAATTCTGATGGAAAATCGCTTCCTGAGGCAGTGGGTGTTGACAAAACAGCCGAGCACAAGACTGATGGAAACGAGAATCATGACAACGAAGATGATGCTGATGATTTGTGCTCTGTGCAAGATGCTTTTGAGACCATGATGTGGAAAGGTCTAACCGATTATCAGAAGAAGTTGCAGATTGAGAAGCTGAAGAACATTCGAACCGGTAAAAGAAAAGAGCTGAGTAGTGAATGGAAAGCTCTATGTGCAGAGGAACTAAATTTGAACATCAAGAAGCTTAGACTCTGCGCAAATCTTGCAGAGGCAGCGAACCATGCATGAAATGAAGAAAAGCCACTGCAGCTTTTTGGTGTTGTTTAGGTAGTAATCCTTTAGGAGTTGACTTGGTAGTAGTAACATAGTTGTTAGTATTTTGTAAGTTTTTGGGCAAGTTCGATGTAGTTTTTGAACAATTTCGATGTAGTTTTTGAACAATTTCGATGTAGTTTATGTCTAAAGGTTGGTAAAAACTTTTCATGTATGTCTATGTGCATTTAACATTCCGTTTCTTAGGTGGTCAGTTTTAAAGCAAAAAGCAAACCAAAGAGAGTCGTATTACGACCAAAACTAAAGCATAAGAAGATGCAATATAACCATTCCCTAAACAAACCATAGTCTTGAAAATGATAAGAAAAGGTTGCAACTTAGGTACACAAGTTTGTGACCCAAAACCCTTACAAAAAAAAGAACCATAAACAAACACATAGTCTTTAAAGTGCACAAAAGGATGCAATTTTAGGTACACAAGTTTGTGTTTCCACCCAAAACACTTACAAAAATTTTTGCAACAATCCTTCTCTTTTTCTACCGAACCAATTTCTTAGATGCACGTGCGTGCTTACGAATTGCTTTGCTGTAAAACTCCCAAGATTCACTTGCTTCCGTAATAGCTTCTTGCCCAAAAGGGTTCTCCTTGATGAAATCTTGAACGTCTTCTGCTTCTACCAATTTCTCCAGATAAAGTCTCAAATCACCACCATTACCTGAATTCCATTGAAGCAGGTAAAATATAAGAGAAGATTTTCAAGATCTAAATAACAAAAAAAAAATGCTGTTTTCTTGCTTCTTCTCTATAAGAAAGAAAGTTTTACCTAAGGATGTGTCTGTCTTGTTCTGATACTTGTATGAGTGAGGGAATATTCCTGCAAATGGCTGTATAATTTCATTCAAGAGAGGTTAAAATATCAATCAATAAGCCAAAAGAAATGTTGTTGTAGACCAGAAGAAGATGCAAGAAAAGCTTACCGGATTAAGCAAAGCCTTGCAAGGAGAATGGTCGACCAAAACCGTATTGGTTTTGTTGTAATCACCTGCTTTCCATGGAAGATTTGGTTCGTGTTCCTCCCAGAGCTTGTTTAGATCCTTGAACACAACATCTTTTTCCCAAACAGTGGTCGTAGAACAGTAAGACATGCCCTGCAACAATGGCAAAATTAGACAAATCTTGTATCTGATAAGAAACAGGAGATAGGCATGTAAAGAAACACGTACCCAACAAAACAACAGTTTACTCTTCATATCTCCAAGCAAGAACTCAGTGATTCTTTCAACGTTTTTCCTTTAAGCAAACAGCAAAATTCAATCGATTTACACATATGACCTTATATATGTGGAAAAATTGTGAATATGAGTAATGTTCTTACTGCTTTTTCGTGGACCAGATACCAACTTCAAACTTGTCAAAGCAGAACTTGAGAAAATCTTCACAGAAAGGTCTCTTAAACACTTGACAAGAAAACAAAAGAAAATTTGCAAACTAGTAAGTCATAAGTATTAGTGTGGTGTATTCACAAAAGATTTTTGAAACTTACGTGCCCTGCTTTGGATATAAGTGTCCGGTACATAATCTCCAGGAGAAGAAACTATATCTGCAAGCAATCCGTTCAGATCAAGAACAAGAAGTTTTTTCTTAGAGACCGATCTTTCTTTGATTCCACCTGAAGCAACACAAGTATCTTCCTTCTCTATCGCATCTGATGTAACAGAGTCTTCGTTTTTCTCTTCTATGTTTGCATCACCTGAGATAACATCAGCAGCTTGTTCCTCTTCCATTTGTTTGTCCTGAATTTCTTCTAGGACTCTCTCATCGGATTCAAGTTGTTCCTCACAAACATCTTCTTCCTTTTCAACATCTTGTGAACCGGTTTCAACATTCTCAGTTCCATCGCCTGATGCAACACAAGTCTCTTTGTTAAGATCATCAACAACTGTTTCGATTTGTTCATTCCCATTGCTAGCATCAACCGCTGCTTCATTTGGGGACAAAATGGGAGCTTCTCCTACATATTATCAAACATGTAATCAGTAATGCACATTAAAGAACCAGTCTTCAACACAAGCAAGCATCCAAGAAAAGAGCATATACAAAATATCTAACAAGACACAAAAATAGAACTACTCTCACAATCTAAGATTCACATCTTCCATCTACTTACCAGAAGATGATGCATTGTTTGCTTTAAAAATCAATTCTGCGGCTTTGGACACAATTGAAAACTTGTCCACACATAGCTCCAATTGCATTTCCGTTATCTTCTTCAGCTTCTCCTCCAACGCTCTCTTCTTTTGTTCATCCGCAGACATATTCCAACGCTCAAGAACTGAAGATTCATCTAAAGCAAACTTTGTAATATTCTCTTCTTTCAAGAAAAAGACTATCTCTCTGCCAAAATCTAGCGGAGGACTGCTTCTTACAACATTCATCTCTGCTTTTTCAGCTTCTTTCTTTATGTTTCCTTGAAGATTCGTCAATGACTTGTGAGCAAAAACACCTTCTCTCCCCCAAATCTTTCTCCATAAGTCAAAAGATCTCTGGTCAACATCTTTAGGATATACAATAGTGTCTTCTCCACCTTTTCCATTTTCAATAGAGTTTTTCACAGTCTTAAGAAATCTATCCTTCAGCTTTCTAACTTTGTCTGTTACCTGGTTTCTACTGGCGTTGGCACTGATCCGGTCCTTAACAAAACCATAAAATCTGTCCTTGTCCTTAAAAGGGTCTCCACTAGTAGAGTTGAAGTCAAGAAAGCCTTGAAGCAAAGCTACACTATCTTCTTCACTGAACACTCTCTCAAACGAAGGCTGCTTCTTATCCTCTGTTTTCTCTGTTTTTGACCTCTTCTTCTTCCTAACCTCATCATGGTCTGCTTTCTCCAAAGAGCGTTTGGCCGTCGAGCTCTTAGGATGGGAAATCTCAGGCTTTGGTTCCTGTTCGTGCTCTTCTTCTACATCAACAATGTCTTCCTCGCTTTCACTTTTCTGACAATCAAAACAAGCAGATCTCATCATAAACATAGGAGAAAATCAATAACAGAACAAAAGAGACGTACTTTAAAAAATTACAACTAATCCAGGAAACAAAAGAGACAATAGTATAGTGGTTTCACTTCTAACCTCAACGTGAGTGTCTTTTGCATCAGTATGTGATGGCTTAAAAGAGTGAGACTCTTCTTCTTCTTCGTCTTCCTTCGAAGAGACTAAGCGAGGATTAGCAGTTTTCTTTCCCTTCTTCGGTGCCATTAGTAGAGAGATATAGAGAGGAGATACAACGATTTGTGGATGCAAGACTCTTCTTCTTCTCCTGGCGATTTTTGCTTGCTTATAGGGTTTTGTGACATGTTGTTCAAAGGACCTTTGAGTGTCTGCGTCTAGTTTAATTTACTGTAATTGTTTTTTTTTTTTTTTACTGTAAATCCCGTTTACCGAAGTTAAACAGTTTATATAATAATATATATTTTGTATTAGATATAAATTTTTAGTAGCTATAATTGTTTTAAAATTTTTTTGACGTGCCACTGATGTGACACTGGTGCTTAGTGCTTAGTGCTTAGCTTTCTTTTAACAATTGGAAATTTAAATTAATAATGTATAATTTTTTCTTAATTACATATTTTTATTAATTTTTTTAGAAAAATTAACCTAAATTTTGGCGCCGAATAACCTCTAGTTTTTCAAAATTCAAGAAGCTCTTCCTAAGTATTTATTGATGCTTCTTAGACAGACAATGCAAATAAAAACACTAATTTACCTGGTTTAGATATGCTCAAGTGGTTTTGAGATGTTTAGTTTTAACGTCCTCAATCTGAAATAACAAAGAATCAACTTTGATGTTCTAAAAAAATTAGCATAGGTTGAAACTTTGATATTTCTATTTTTTTTTATGTTTCAGATGGACAATCAAAATAAGCAAAATGAAAATATATGATATCAAGAGAATCTAAGACTATATATCTAAGAAGTGCTTCATGAATATTTAAGAAAGCTTCCTAAATATTTTATAATCTTATGCATAAAACGCCATCAACCCAATTGAAAAAAGCAAAACAAAGTGGTATGATATAAAAACAATTGAAGACTATAAATTATGGTTTTTATAAGCTTCCTAAAAATCATTATGGTTTTATGCTCAGATGAACATATATAACTTTAGAGATGTATCTTCCTCAAACTGTTATCCACCCAATCAAAACAAGGAAAACAAAGAGATATGGTATCAAGATAAGACTATATATTTAGGGAAAAATACCCAAAAATACTTCAACTATTTAATTTTTGGAAAAATCACACATAAATTTTTAGTGTTGCCAGAAACCCACACAAACTATTTTTTCGATGCATAAATACTTTAAGTTTTTTAAAGTTCCATTTTCTCCTTCTCCCTTCTGATTTCACGGCTGTTAACGGACATAACAGAATCAATAAACAACGTTAATTTTTTGTAAGAAAAAAATGAATATATCCCCTATTTAAAAAAACTAATATTTTGAATTACAACTTTTGTTTTGGTGAATATTAAAAAAATTAGAATCATAATTCGTTCATATCGAACTAACCCGTTTACTTAATATTTTTGTACTGGATTCAAATAAAAATTAATTATATTATGCACCATTTAATAACTCTCACTTAACCATAAACTTTTTTATTTAAAAATTAATTTTTTCATGTCAAATTTTCTTAACATAACTAAAAAATTATTTTTGCATATCATCAACTAAGTATAATGAATTATAGTAAAAAATATTTTAATACTTTTTAATATCATAACTTTAAATCTTGAATTTTATAATATTTAAGTATGAAAATTTGTTATTTTCAAGTTTTTATTTAAATATACTGATATCATTTGAAACAAAAGATATAAAAACTACTATATTTTTGAATTTAGAAATTAAATAATAAATATACTTTATTAAATGAGAAACAAAATTTTTTTAATAGATTTGAAAGACAACTATATTCTTTCCTATTTTAATTATTTTTGTTATTTATAATGACATATCATAGAATATTTTACAAAATAAAAGTTATTTTTTTAAATGTCTATTTAAATAATAATATAGAGATATTTTATTAGTGAAAAATAAAAGATACCAAGTCAAGTGTGTAGCTGATTTCAAAATTTTGTTGTAAATATTTTTTTTTGTATTCTTAACTTAGTTTTTTGGTAATTTTATAAACTTAGCTCCCAAACATAAAACATATCTTCCATTTTGATAGACACATTAATTCTGAAAACTAAGTAAAAAATAATAAATAACTTAGGCTCAGAAAAAAGAAAATAAGATACAACAACTCAATATTTTGATATTACAAAATACAGATAAAAGAAAATTAATTGTTTGCTACTCAAAATCAACTTACTTTAGACCTCTAGCTCGACCTAACGAAACTACTAAGCACTACAATACGCATAATCTTTTTTTTTTTCATCTGAATATATATTTGAATTGAAATATTGAACGTGTTACAATATCCCTGAGGATACCAAAAAAGACAGGATCGAGGAAAATCAAACCAAGATGAACAACCAGTATTACTACTATGCAACACTACGTTGATTAACAAAAAATTCTTTTAACCATCTCGGGAATCCATAAGCAATATATGATTGCCAACGATCCTCTCTTGTAACACTTTGAGCAATAAGATTGGCTCCACCATTGGCCTCATATGGTTCCAGAACCACTTTCCACTCTAAAATGGAGCCTAGAATTGATAATAACTCCTTGGACTGATGTTTGAAGGATGGCCATGCAGGAGGACGATTAACAGCACCAATAAGCTCATCAGATTCAGCAGCAAAGATAATCTTAGTGAATTTCAGAGATTTGATGCTATCAAAAGCCCAAAGCCAGCTTTTGAGGTTTGCATCAGATTTAGAGCCAATATTCACAAAGGATCTTCTTCCATGACACAAAACCTCTCCTTTTTCATTTGATAGAACCCACGCCGCTCCTCCACATCTCTTCCACTTATCCCACGATGCTCCAATATTGCATTTGACCCACTGAGAAGGCGGAGGAAACCAAACCTTCCGATCCCTATGATCCCTTTCCTTTGATCTACAATCTTCCTTCTCTGTCAATTCCTGGGCTTGGAACCATTGATTAGAATCCTCTTTAATCTTCCCAATTGTATCGAGGATATGAAAGTTCATTCCTTCAAAAATGAAGTTGTTGCGATTCTTCCATAACATCCACAATATCCAGGGAAAGGATCTTCTAACCTCCAAATCCACCTCCAAACACTT